GGATAACAATATCATCCAATTGTCTCTTAATGGTCATGCCAATCGGCAAAATTATCACTACTGGTCAACGGAAAATCCTCACTCGATGAGAGAAGAATACACGCAATACCCTCAAAATGTTAATATTTGGGAAGGGATTGTAGGAAAGGAAATCATTGGTCCCTTTTTCATTCAGGAAAACTTGAATAGCGATAATTATTTGCCCTACTTCAAAATGATGTCATTTCAAGTTTATGGAGTGGGACAGTGGGAAGGATTGGGATGGGTAGTGAATGGGGTAGAGGGAGTGGCACGAAAAGACCCCGATACATTTGCGCTCTCAAGAATTCCGCACGGAAGAGAAAAGCGCCTCCACAGAGTCCCCCGATGGGGCAGTGGGAGACGCCCCTCCTGCCGAGGCTTACGCGGAAGTTGTCATTATGTCGCGTTTCAGTACTTCTCAGAGAATCATTCGTCTGTTTGTTGGTAGAAGTTGTCGATAACCCCCTGGAAAAAGTTCATTAAAAAACCAGGTAAGAGTATTTCTGCTATCACGTCATCATGTGTGCGTGAATACTCTTTTCCAATTTTTCCATGAACTAAGCGCGATCGCATTCGCGTTCACGGTATATCTCCAGTTCTTCATAGACTAGCCCGTGATTACGGTGCTGTCCATGATAGCTTCTAACTGCCGTGACGTCCCTCGTCAGCGGGCTCTTCGGTAGAAAGAACTTGAAGAATTTCTGAGCCAGTCTCCTGATATGGTCGGTGACTGACTCCACTTCTGCCAGATCTAACAGATTGTTCAATGAAATGTATCTGTCACTGTTAGTGCAAATACGGAGCACCTTATTCGGCATTCTCTCGAGTCTCATTAAAGGGGACTTCTTGAGACTGCAGAACACAGAACTCGCGTACAACATAGCCGGCCTAATTATTTGTTTATAAATAAGCAACTTGTTGTCAACATTGAGCTTAGAGTTCCGTGCAATGAGCGGATACGTGCGTTTTATCGCCGCACCCGCTCGTGACGTTACCAAGATGTTCCAGCCTACCTCTGGTAAAGCTCTGGTGACCAACTCTTCCCTTGCTACTCGTGGGAACACACATGAATGGAACAAACACAGAAACAACAAAAACCAATTCCGAAGCTGGACAGAAGTGCTCACCTTAATCTAAGGCGGTGGCTGGGGTTGAACAAAAATGTCCATCCCAACCTACCGCTTGAAATGAGGCTGGACATAGCAGATCACTTCGTGATGTAATACATTGGCCAAGGCGTAAGCGCATTTGCGGCGTCGAGGCCAAAAGGAGATATAGGGCGAAGGAGGCAGGAGTGGCAGCAACTATAAGTGCAGCCTCCTCCTCCTCCACCTCCAACAGCAAAGGCACTTTCTGCAGCTGGCGCCAAGAGCTCCGCCTTGAATAAAGACAAGGAACCGGCTGCCCCTGCAGGAAAGCTCCCTCACTTGTGCACCTCCACGGAAGGAACCGCAAGAAGGTTGAGAAACCGCACAACGACAATAATGTCGCTGCACCTTCCGTAACCTTCGCGGAGGCCACCGTGAGACACCTCAAGGTTGCCAAAGAGAGTGTGTGTTCGGCGAGTCTCGGCCTACACCTGCCAATATGACCTGTCCACCTTTCTGGAAAGGACAGGATGGACGATCACCTAGGAGGACAACTCCTCGGGAGAATGTACAATGAGTCACCACTAACTGTCTTCGAGAGATTTACTGTTGGGCTAGTTAAACTAAATGTGGCATCAAATTTCCTCTCGCTGGAAATGTCTCGTACCGATAATAAGTTTTCATAATCCTCAACTTCCGAACCTATACTATCAGCAACAGTTTTCACATTATCAGACTCGGTATTCACACTTGCAGGCTTTTCTTCCTTATCTCCTCTAATATCGAGATTTATTTGTATGCTTTTAGCTTTTGTCTGAGTGACCTTCAATAGATGGAATAAAAGTGGAGAAGTATTTGAAATATTTTCCAGTCCCAATTTGTCTCTCAATTTTTGACTGCCTTCGTATTTGTATTTACCGCCACAATATCATTCGGACTGGTATACAGAAAATGTAAAGTTCATGTCAAAAAATTACAAGAATTCATGAACAACACAAAACATTGCCCTTTCTTCTTCCGTTTCTAGAAAAGTAGTAATTTTGTTTCAGTGATGGCTTCAATCTGCTAACCTACAAAGAACGTAAAATGAAGGTACTTACTTTTAATTAAGGAATATATCACCTTCTCATCCTCATCCAATGCAAGAAAGATGCTGGCACGCAACTGAGCCTACAAAAAGATCAATTATTAAAATTAATTTTTTAAACTGGATAATGAGTTCCAAAACCTTTATTTTGGCAAGAGTTCCATTTGATTCTAGTGTTTGAGCTACCAAATCTCTCAATTCTATATCTCCCTCTGACATTTTTTGAGGTTATAATGCTTATACCAAATGCCAATAGTAATCATGGACGAAACAATATTTAAATAAAGTTGTGGTAATGAAACAAAAATAAATTAAAAATTTTAAATTGTGCTAGAATTATATTATTATCATACAAAAATTATTTTCTAGACTACAACAAAAATTTTTGAAAAACTCTATACTGTACAGCGTTGCCGTTGCCACTTTCGACTTTCGATGAGGACGCTGGAGCTGGTGTCCGACTGGTGTGTGGTGTGTTCAACAAATGATAAACAGCTCATTGTAAAACATATCCTTATGTATGTTGTTTTAGAATTTGCTACATATTGAGTTGTGACTTAGAAATAATAGTGTTTCATGGTACAATTATTGTAGACTTGAGAAATTTATGAGTAGATAAAATGAAATACTTTCGCAGACTTTCAAAGCGCAAGAAATAAACAATTTGTAAAGGGCAGCTGACATAACTTGGTCTTTGTTTTAGAGTATTACTCAGTTCAAATATTTCCGATAGACGTCGTATCCTGATAATAAACTTCTATATACCTTTCATTCCTATACCTTCATTCCGAAAACACTGTTTAATCAGATCAAAACGAAGAGTTTTGACTGAAATAATGCTAGCGGAATTTATTGTTCATAATTTTGTTTCTTAAACTTGAACTAGATTTTGGACTAGAACATATAAAAATGATCCAGATCCAGTAAAGTGTTCAAAAAGAAAATGTAAGTGAAATATGGCTACAAATTATGTCGAAATGCTCATTTGGAATCAATAAAATATCCAAAAGATTTGCTTCATGAAAACACATATCACTTAGGCGTAATCCCAGCAAACATCGATAAGATGTCTTCACATTGGGTCCAGCGCTATTATTTTTAGATATCTAGGAGACGTCATGGTGACGTACTTTTGCTATATTCTTAATTATATCGTCTTTGTGGATATCGCATTATAATACGAATGAAACGTTACTTGAGGTTGAAAAAATAAATGACATCGAGAAAACATATCTGTTACATTGCAACAGCATATTAGTTTTGACATCACATCTACATGCTAGATTGATATAATCAACTTTTCTTCAATGAATTGAAATTTTCTGGCTCAAATACTAGAAACTTAATTTTATATCGCAATGATAAGTTTTATACGTTAGAGACTGTGAACTATAGTGATAAAATACTATAAAATGTAGTATTTAACTAAACTAACAGAAAACATTTCACAAGTGAAGTAATGAAAAATCTTTGGAAAAATGTAATATTCCGTGGGTTCGCATGGCAAATACAGTAGGTATGAAAAAATCTGTTCATAAGGTATGTTGTATTGGTTATGTGCTACCTCAAAACAATATCTAAAAAATAATTGGGAAAGAAAGGTTTTGGCTTTCTACTTTTTCATCTTCATACAAAGAAAGGAAAGAGCAATCAATTTAAATAAAGTAGCTCTATACAAAAACAGTATGTGTATATAATTTCAAAGCAAGATGGAATTTCAAATAAATAACTATTTTGAATGAAGGTCCAAATGAGCAAAATTTTGTCTTAAAGCTGAACATACCTTCAATGTACTTATTGGATACCAAGTTTGGTCTGAAACGAAATTTTATACAGCGTTACTCACGATCGATGGTAAGTTAGACGTTTCTGGAAAACGCAAAGTATGATTTTTCTGAAAATTTCACCTCTCACATTTCCTTACCTGTTCTATCGATCTAAAATATTTTCAACATTGCGGCGTTGCCACTTCCGTCAAAAAGTCCTAGCGACTTTATTTTTTTTAATAGAACACCCCGTATATTAATACATTTTTGGAATTGCTCTGGTATTTTAATACTTTTTTGTTGATAATGTCCTATACCTATCTCTATCTTTTTTCGAGATAAAAAATAAATTGTGCTAAATATGGTCTAAAACATAGCGTTAATTGAAATTAAGTACATCAGTACTCTCAATTCATGAAAAGTTGATAATTTGGTGATAGTTTGGACAAACTCGAAATATTCAAATAACATCAAGAAATCGATTCCACATCATACAGGGCGTGCTAAAATTACTATTATTTCCATTGTGCATAAAAGTAGTCAAAAGTTCATTTTTTCAAATGAAACCCTAAACGAAAATATTATTAGCATCATACATAACATAAATTAAAAAATTAATAAAAATGTCAATGACATGAATCAGCTAATCATTATTTTAGCAAATATATTTGGATAATAACAGAAAATAATATTAGAGAATTATATCGTCAGTTCATGAAATTCTTCAACGTTAGAGACCCTTTGTGATATTCTCCTACCTCTGGCCCATCTGAACTTATGAAGCAGTCAACTTCAATGTTCATTTTGTTTACCATAAGAATAATTATTTGAAAAATGGTAGTGTGTGATTTCCAGTTTTCACTTAGAAAATAATTCAACTTCCAATGACATGTTTGACACAACCCTTTTGTTTCAAAAGTATAACAATAATATACATTTCAGATTACCGCTGTCAAAATTTCGGGCTAGTAACGGATAAGAAATGGTTATTTTTGGAACATATCCTAAACTTTTCTAATATTTGACGTTATGACATGACTTATGACACTGGTTATGACGTTGAGTTGGCACAATTTACAATAACAATAACAGAAAACACATCCTACTTTTGAAAATCAACAATTGAAAATTGTTGACCAGTTAAACAATTCGTTTTTCATTTCATTCAGTTATGTTGTAATAACATAATATTTTACAGGCAGAGAAAGTGGTCTAGTGTCTACAACTTGAAAATAACCTAAGTAAATACATATTTGTTCATTTCTTATCTTCCTTGGTCTGATTACTTATATCTTTATCATTCATCTACCCACCCTACGTCTTTGCTAACTGATCAAACAGGATTTTATTCTCAGAAATGGACCAATTAGCTACAGAAAAACTGCTGTCTTTTGCATATTTACTTTGTATATGTATGGGAGCAACATCTAGTATAACAACAGGAATTGCCTGGGGTCATTGGTATAAAACTCTGGATCAATGTGTAAATCGTAATTGCAGCTGTATTCTTTATGGCAAAAACACAGCAACTATTTTTCTTGGTGAGTGAAAAAATGTTTCTGAAATTTTATTTCAATACATCAATCAGGTTTGATTTGAAAGGGTTATATTTTTAGGAGTGATTAATTTCATTGATACTGCTTGACAATGTCAAGTTGGCACTTCAGTTTTCAATATTGAAAAATCAATTGGAAATAAATCTAATTTTAGCTGGTCCATAAATTAAAGATCTGAACAGAATACACACGACAGATTTCAATTCTTGCACCATCTATCAACATGTTGATCAACATGTGTGTGTGAAGTCTCAATCTGCCTACTCCGTAGGTAGTGACAAGCTGTAAGGGTTTTGTGACTTGATTCCCAAGGTTTGACCAAGCGTAGGCAGATTAGCAGCCTTGGCCTCAACTCACAAATTCTTACAGCGTGTCATTACCTGAGGAGAAGGCATATTGACACCTAAGTGTAGTCATAGCTTCTTGAAAATGGCTTCAATTATAAAATGGTATACCAAGAGTACTTCCGTTTGTCTTTAATATAATCACAACGTTTCGGCAATATCACACTTGCCAGATTCATGTTCTCTACTTGGTAGCTGAACTTGAAACTGAAGTCATCCTTGTCGATGCTTGCCCATTTCCGGTGTGAAGGTTTTGTGACTTGACTCCTAAGCATCAACCAAGCGTAGGCAGATTGAGACCCAGGCGTCAAGTCACAAAACCCTTACAGAATGTCACTACCTGAGGAGTAGGTAGATGAGACCTCAGTGTGGTCATAGCTTATTGAAATTGGCTTCAATGTCGAAGCCGAAACGTCGAACAACTAAAAACCTCAGACGCAGTTCAACCTGGACTTCAGATAATCAGGTTTTGGCATAGTCCTTCAACAATGGTATCATGTGCTGAAGTGGTATCCCGAGTGTACTTCCGTCCGTCTTTCATTCAATTACATCGTTTCGTCAAGATCGCACTTCCATATTCATCTGCCCTACTTGGTAGCTGAACTTGTAACTGAAGTCGTCCTTGTTGATGCTTCTCTATTTCCGCTGTAAGGGTTTTATGACTTGACTTCCAAGCGTAGGCAGATTGAGACCCCGGCGTCAAGTCACAAAACCTTTATCGGGTGTCACTACCTGAAGAGTAGGCAGATTGATACCTCGGTGTAGTCATAGCTTCTTGAAAAAGGCTCCAAAGTCGAAGCCGAAACGTCGAAAAAATCAAAACAACAGACGCGGTTCAACCCGGACTTCAGATTATCACGTATTGGCATAGTCTTTCACGGATGGTATCACATGCGTAAGTGATATCCCGAGTGTACTTCCGTCCGTCTTTCATTCAATCACAACGTTTGACAAGACCGCACTTACCATATTCATGTGGTCTATTTGGTAGCTGAACTTGAAACTGAAGTAGTCCTTGTCGATGCTTATCTATTCACGCTGTAAGGGTTTTGTGACTTGACTCCCAAGCGTTGGCAGATTGAGACCCCGGCGTCAAGTCACAAAACCTTTATAGCGTGTCACTACCTGAAAAATAGGCAGATTGAGACCTCGGTGTAGTCATAGCTTCTTGAAAAAGGCTTCAAAGTCGAAGCCGAAACGCCGAACAACTAAAAACCTCAGACGCGGTTCAACCCGGACTTCAGATAATCAGGTTTTGGCATAGTCCTTCAACGATGGTATCACATGCTGAAGTGGTATCCCGAGTGTACTTCCGTTTGTCTTTGATACAATAACAACGTTTCGGCGAAACCTCACTTGCCATATGCATGTGCTCTACTTGGTAGCTGAACTTGAAACTGAAGTCGTCCACCCCCCATACCCCCGCCTGAGTTGAATGCCACGAGTTGAAATCTTCCCCACTCGGTTACTGTATGTAGAACATCCCATCTCGTCCATCCTCCCCCGCTCCGAAGCGATCCTCAACTTACTGATGGACACTTCAGCAAGATTAACATCTGACCTCCTTCGATCGAAAGTCAGCCTTTAGGTGCTTTTACTTTCTGGTCTAATGTTTTGTTTTACCTTGGCTTTCCTAACTGAATTTTTGCATGAGCTTCCCAAAAACTCATCGGACACTATTGTTTAAAAAAAGATCGCGGTAGAATGTGTCTCATTGAACCTGAAAAGGAAGTGTTTGTTTTCTGGTAAAAAATGTTTATACTTACCGGAGCCGCCTGACAGTGACTCTCGGAGGTGGACGTTGGTTCTGCTTGGTTGGCCTTCTATGTTTGTCTCTCTCTCTCTCTCTGTCTCTCGGAATCTGGTGTCATCCCTGTTTAATGCATTGTATAGATCGCGTAGCGCTGGATTGACGTGCGCTCGAATTCTGTCAAACGCATCTTCTGCGTGTTGTCTCATATATGCGTCTACGTGTTCAGATCTAGATCCTGGAATATGTACCTATTCGGTACATATCTTGGAGCGTTTACGGCGGCCCTTACGCACGCTTTCATAAATGACTGGATCTGTCTTCTGTGTGTCGTTGCACACTGGCCCCAGGCACAGGCATAGAGGATTATTGGTAGTAGTAAGATCTTTATCATCAGCAGCTTCACTTTCAGTCCCATGTTGCTTCTTCGACCTATTATTGGTAATAGGTTTTGTCGGGCAGACCTCACCATTCCTACTCTCTGCCGTACATGAGACCTGAATGTTAATCTTATATCTAGGGTGACTCCCAGGTATCTAGCTTCGTTGATCCACGGAATCTCTTGTCCGTTAAAGGTGACGTTTCCTTCCGGGTGAACAGTGTCGTCTGACTCTTGTCAGAGTTTATACTGATCTTCAACAGGTTGGCCCATTCCTCTAATCTATCTGCCTATTGCTGCAAGTATCTAGTGAAGTGCGCTTGGCTTGTTGATCTCGCCAGCAGAGCTGTGTCGTCCGCATAGAGCGCCAACTTGTTAAAGTTGTTGAAGTCGTCCTTGTTGATGCTTGTCCATTTATACGCAGCCGTAGGCTGTAATTGTGGCGTGGAATGTCCTGATTGGTCGACGTGCGCTGGCCATGGTTTTGGATATGATGGGTTTCCGTGCAGCTAAGAAATAGTGTACGTCATCTCTCTCGTTTAGACTGCCGATCTCAATTTCGATTGTCTTCCTTATGATCCTGAATTTCTGGAGGTGTTACTTGCGATCTGTTTGCAGCTTTTGAAGTTGATGATCTGACTGATAATCGCCTTGTGTGTCAAGGCTATTTTTCGTTTTTTGGCCGCCGTGGTCTCCAGGTTTTTATGCCTGGCGTTTCGTCTACTACTGCGGTAGATATTATCAAAGGCGATGATGTAATGGTTGGAATGCTTGAGTTGTTCTCAACGCAGACACTCAGAGGAAACTCAGAAAGTTCAGAGAGGTGAATGTTTCGAATTTTCATTCAAAATATTTAATTTTCATCATGTGTATCTCTTCTTGACTCAGTTATCAAATTCGCTGATTTCTGTTGGATGACCATAGACAATGCAAGTGAAAGTGTGGCAAGATTTTTTTTAGGAATAGTAGACAAGAAAAAAGTTATATTAAGTATGCTAAACTTTGCCCTCGCCAGCTGTTAGCCCCTTACGAATGACAACATCTTTGAATCATTAATGAGTTTGGTATTTAAGTAACACTTTATTTTGAGATTTTGACCAAAGAGTACAAATACGTTATCATTAATTTTCATCAAGTATATAAATTATTATATTTTCCAGGTGGAGAGCAAGCACCATGTATTTGGGTTACTTTTGGTCCACTTATTCACGTATTTTTCTCTCTCGGTTTACTTTGCTTTCATGGGTATCGTGTTCTTTTCACAACAAAGTCTCCACAAAGTAGATCTACCAGAACGATGTTGGCAAAACTTGAGTAAGTGAAATTGTTTAAGCTATCAATGTGATTTTTTGGGATACTTTTCTACATTACAATTAAAACTCTTTTATAGCACTGGAGAATCAATTGAGATTGAAACAGTTTCTCAAGAAAATACCAGCCCCTTACCCAAAGTCTTCTGGATAAGCACTTCAGTGATTTCTTCGATTTTCACCCTTTACTCTTTGGTACATTTTGCCATATTTTTAGATGGTTTTTATGGAACTTGTAAAGAATACCGTACAGCTTTGGAAAAACTTTTATATATTGGTGGATCTGCATTACCGGTCATTTATAATCGATTGTCCTGTCAAAGTGTCTACGACTTTATGGATTATATGCAAATGGATTCTGGAAATGCTTACCGTAATGGAATAATCAACACTGGGCTAGCTTTGGTGATTGGAATTATAAGTTCTTTTGTCACATGGATTTCGTACTTATTTGCTAGTATTTTGAATATCAGGCAGACATGCATTAGCAATGATTAGATCAATCAGCGTGTGTGGTTTTATGGTATTTTATAATGTTTTTATCCGTCCACTTCAATGTGTTCATGTGCCTTTTTGAATTTTTGTAAGATATATATGTATACATTCCTAACAATATTTTTAAAAATAGTACAATGAACTATCTGGCAGAGCTTGGTCCAAAATAAGAAAGTTTGAGTACCTGTAGAATGAGACATATTTTCAGAATTGTGAAGAGTAATCATATTGTTAGTATTTCAGTTCGCCCACGTGATCACTTCTCTATTGGTTGAAACGATAGCTTGTTAACAGTAGCAATATCATTAAAATAAGAGAAGCAAACTTTAATAAAAACGGGTTCACTCTGAAGAAAGGCAAGTAATAGGTACCTGCGAATCAATCGTTGAGGTGATCAGAATTGTTGTGAAGATCCCTCCAAACCATTGATTCCCAAAGTGGTCCAGATGGACCTCCTTGGGTCCACGAGAGACTCGACGGGGGTCTACGTTGGCGTGACCAGAAAATGGGGGTTCACAACTCGTAAGCGAGGGTCCACAAAAATTTATCTGATTTCGATAGTGAAGAACTAAAATGTCGGCAGATAATATTTTAAGACACTCAGCTACTGCCACATGTAAAAACGTGCAAATTCCATATTCAGTACAATGTGTCGAGACTTGCCCGCCGTCCGTAAAGCTTGTTCAGGCGAGCAAAGGGAACGAAATATGACTTGTGTGTGCGTTTTTTATTGACCAACTTCACTTTTTTGACATTCTCTCGCAGCACAATCAATTAATTGATTAACCAAAACATCCCTTCAAAAAAACATGGAACTATTTCTCAAAAGATCGACTAGAAATGGCTGATGGATTTTTGAGAAAAGAAATTGATATTTGTGAAATCGAAAATATTTGTGGGACCCATTCGTTAATAATCAAGACGAGTGACTGCCTCTCTCAAAACAAGAAATCTTTTCCTGACCTCCTTGGGTCCACGAGAGACTCGACGGGGGTCTACGTTGGCGTGACCAGAAAATGGGGGTTCACAACTCGTAAGCGAGGGTCCACAAAAATGTATCTGATTTCGATAGTGAAGAACTAAAATGGCAGATAATATTTTAAGGCACTTAGCTACTGTCACATGTAAAAACTTGCAAATTCCATATTCAGTACAATGTGTCGAGACTTGCCCGCCGTCCGCAAAGCTTGTTCAGGCGAGCAAAGAGAACGAAATATGACTTGTGTGTGCGTTTTTTATTGACCAACTTCACTTTTTTGACATTCTCTCGCGGCACAATCAATTAATTAACCAAAACATCCCTTCAATGAAACATGGAACTATTGCTCAAAAGATAGACTAGAAATAGGTGATGGATTTTTGGGAAAAGAAATTGATATGCTTGTGAAATCGAAAATATTTGTGGGACCCATTCGTTAATAATCAAGACGAGTGACTGCCTCTCTCAAAACAAGAAATCTTTTCCATCTTGGTTTCAATCTCAAATATGAAGAATAAAATCTTGAGGTGTCCATGCATCCCTAATAAAAAGAGAAACGAACTGCATTTTCCACCGTTAATGGATTATTCCGATAAACCACAAGGTGGCGCTGGCTACAAGGGAAAAATAGGTTAGGAATTCACGTAAATGAAAGTTATTTTATGTACTTGGGACTAAGATCATCTCAGTTGAAGTGTGCATTACAAAATTACCTATATTTGTAACGATTCTATTAATTCCACATTCTTTTGCTATTTGTGGATCATTTGCGAGGGTATGTATTTTTATCGACATAATCGGAACTTCGCTTCATCGAATACTAATTTATGAACCTAATATTAATTATTAAAAGTTATATTTGGGCGATGAAACAACTTCTCGAAGGCTTCTTTCTTGCTTGACATTCGATTTTTCAAAAAGGAAATGTTGGCTAGTTGTGATCGCTATTTCTGTAACTCGTTTAGGATTAGATCAGTAGTTATTGGACAAGCAATCGTTTCAAACAATAGTAAAGTGAGATTTAAACTGCTTCATATTGGTGAATGCAGTGTTTGGTGTTGTTTTACTTAGAAAGTAAAATGAGTGTAAACTGAGTGTCAATAATTGACGAACCAATGGCAAACAATATATCCAAATTCGATTGTACTGAACTTGATATCAAATAATTAAGAGAAATCAGTGTGACTTCCACCTTTTTTAAAGGACATACTAGTAACTCTCCTTACCTTTTACAAAATATATGAGGACTTCACATTTAATTGCGTAATTGATGTATTATTGTGTAAAATACTTCATAAGTTAGGCTGAATAAGACTGCAATAAAAGGAACAATTTTAGAATATAAGAACAGTTAAGATTTCAATTATCCTTGATAACGAACAAGTATTTTATTGATAGAAAAGTTGAATTTTTTTAACGAGTATTGAGGTGTATCTTATCTATAACTGTGTTATTATGGCTATTTATCGTTAATTTAGAATCGTTTCATCATCAATCTTTCCATAACTAAAATTTGAATATATTCAATTTGGTTCAACATCCTAATAAAACCTCTCATTTTTCTTGCAGTTCATTCAATATGTATCTTAGAGCATTGCTCTTTACACTGCTTAATACATTATATATTTGAATAAAAATAAAATTCTGTAATATGAAGTAGTTTTATTGGTAACGTTAACTCTCACCGCAAAACAAGTTTGACAGTTATTTCATCTGCCCCACACTTCCGGAAGCAGAGAGAATCGAGAATGAATTAGTTTTAACGAAGTCATAACTCTTTCATATATTATATTGTGTAGCAATTTTATGAATGATATCTGGAAAGGAAAAAGTGATTTTTGTGTTATTCAATATTCATGTGTATCTGAAAGTAAATTATACACAGTCAACACATCTTTGTAGAGTTTATTTTGGAATTTTTCCACATTTCTTTCATGAAGATAGTATAAGGTTGTTTCAAAAGTTTTTTCCGTTTTGATGTCATGTGTTTTTGTAGCTCCACATCTCCATAAATATTCTACTGTGGCGTAAGAAGTTAAAAACAAGATATTATGCAAATCAAATATTTAGAAACAGCTGAAAACAAACAGAAAGCTACATGGGAGGGAAAACCAAAATTGACAATAAAAGGGAGATTCATCTTGGAGCAAATAGTATCCGGATCAATGATGGAACAGAAGTTGCCAATAATTTTGTTTGCCACTTTGCCAGAGAAGCCTCGGCAGCTCTGTTAAGACATGTAGGTCAGAACTTGTCACTACCACATGCGGTCTCAGAATTTAACGAAAACTCAAATGTTTTTTTAAGAAGTGCTAGAACCTGAACTAGTTTCAACAATGACCGAACTGAAAAATAAAAAATCGAGTGGTCTAGGTGATATAACAATAAAAGTTCTAAAATATGTCATTCCATCTATATCTGAAATTCTATTGATTCTTATTATTCACTTTATAATGGAAGGCGTGTTTCCGAGTGTCTTCAAAACAGCCAATATTGGTTTGGTTATAACTACTTAAGTAGTCCTACAATAGCAAAATCAATAATGATCAATCTGCAAATATGTTCTCTAGATACTTTCGTTCAGTTTTGTGTTAAGATGAATTCATTCAGATTCGATTAGCAAGTAACAAGTATGAATCGTCAGTTAGTGAGGAACCTGTAACTGTAATGCATTAGCAACCAAAGAATCAATAAAGTAATATGCAAGCTCTTGAGCCTTTATATTTTTCCCATAAGAAAAGAAATCTGTAATATCAACTGCTGTATGTTTATTTTGTGTATTTTTCAATCACAATTCAAAGAATTTCCAGAATCTGACATGATCAAAATGAACAATGACCCAGAAATACCAGATTATTTTACACACAATCAACAATATTTTGAATGAGATGTGGCATTTGGCACTCATAGTGTTAATGAACGCACTGTTTTCAGAGATTTTAGCCTCGAAGTGGTCGACCTACAGTAATCCAGGACGAGGATTTGAGAACCCCGGTGGAGACTGACCCATCACAAACGATGCGTGGAAGAACTGGGCTCCCATGCGGTTTTTGATGGTTTAAAACGCATTGGAAAAGTCAGAAAGTTCGGTAAAAATTCCACTATGTAAGCAATGAATAAAGTTGCGAGGCATCTGAGCAGTGCTTACTTATAGATCAATCAACTTCTTTGAAACAAATTGGACAAACTGACTTCCATTGGAAAAATATGATTCGAACCATTTGGCTGCAATTCCTCGTATGCCACAAAGCCAAAGTTTTTGTAGCAGTGCCTTATAGTATAGGATCCCACCGCAAAATCAATACGTTCATAGCGTAGTTAATCAAACTCAAAATTTTACAGCTAAAATACTTCATGGAGTAAGAGCCGGGTCAATACCCCTACGAAACCCTTCATCACTTGGAAGGATCGAATACAGCTTGAGAAATGGTTCTGAAGCAGATTCTGTGAAACATGTTCTCCCTAATTAATCATATATGAAAGAGCTAATTCATTTACTTATTGGAGAAAAATTGAAAACCTTTCACCATTTAGATTGTTCAACAAAATAAAGGTTGGCAGTAATAATAGAAAATAATTTGAGATTTGCGAAAAAAATAAAAAGTACAGGAGACCTGGTTGCCAAAATGAATTAAAAGGTCTCGGAATCTATAAACGAGTACGGAATCTATAAACGAGTACGTACGATAAAGTATTTTAATCTATTTTGTATATTATCTGTTACATAACAAACCCATTTTTTTTCAATACCAGAAAGATATACATCGTCAGCCTACCACCATCTTGAGAGTATTGTTCAACAGAATTCAACAAAAATTTACAAAAAGTTGACATCTTACAGAAGCTGGAGCTAAGCTTTTTTTGGTTCCCTTCGTATATGAGAGATTTAATAATATATAACGTAATAATACAGATGAATAAAAATGAAAGGTATAACACAGAGTAAACAACATTGTTCGTAAAATAATTCATTGGCAACATTTTTATTTCTCTAGATAACAAACAATAAACANAGTGTCTTTTTGGTAGTACAAAACGTCAGGTTAATTTCAATATTGTAACTTTTTTAGTGCTTGTGAAAAAAATTGTTACACAAATTTTATGTACCCCCTTCAAGGGGCTGTATCTTAACAAGGGATGCTCCAATGAAATTTCTTTATATGAAAGATCCTACCTTTTTTTCGATAAGGAATCACCTCCTTAAATGTTTTACACTTATTTAGTTACTCCCTGTATACAAACAAATGAGTTATCACAATTCAAACCAGTTAAGATCCGTATGGTTCACCACAAGGTTCTTTGATTGAGAAGTACAAAAAGTTGATGACATCAGTAATGTGATCCTTTGTTCCCGTGCTCCTGAATGAGTTAGACGAGATTGTCATACCTAGCCGCTTTTTTGCATCAGAATGTTTGCCCAAAGGCAAACATGAAGAAGGTTCAACAACAGAAACTTGATCAAATATTATGTGTTTGGAGTTAGAAGTGAACAAGCTAAAATGTTCATTAGCCTGTTCTTCGAGAAGCTGATGAGAAGGACCTGAGGCTAGTGATAGTACTGCTTATAATTGGATAGTGTTCACCAAAGAACCACCTCAGTAAAATTTGTAAGATCTGATGGTTTCTAAGAAAATACAACACATAGCACAATTTTGTTAAGAACAACTACACAATAAGCTATTGAAGTCAATAACGTGAGTCACAAATATTTTCCAGTTTGGTGGTGATTTGTTGTGAATGTTGTCTCTTTAGGTGGTACTTGCTGACAGATTTTCAGTTATAATAAATCTCATCAACTAGAACATCTGGCAATATGTTGGCATATATAAAATCATGGAAAGAAATAAAACAGCAATGGTGTAAGAATAATTTCAACCGAAACAAAGACAGAGTCAACATTATTGAAATATGGCTGCCTGGACTAAATGGCTCTCTAGCCATTTATTTCAACCAATAGGAACGA